TCCCACCATCATGATTCTGACAGTGCAGATTCTAGACACTCACCCCGACCTAATTATGGAAATATATGTCTGCTGTGAGAATGTTTTGGTGAGATGCAAGTAGAAACATGACAGCTAGTTTTCTGTTGATATAAAGGCAAATATAACGTCTGCAGGTATTATCATATTGAATGATGGATGATCTGAAGAGTCTAGACTGTTCAGCTAAAAACAAGATGCAGCACGTATAGCTGGAGCTTAGATAAGCTAGATAAGAGCTTTAAGTTAAAGGTAGTGAAATCACCCTGTGAGTAGCCTGGGGCTCCAGAGGGTAGAATTTAGGACAGATGAGCAATTATCCAAACATTTCAACAAATAATAAATCCACTTGTGTTTGTACGCATCAACGTTCACCTAAAACATCCATTTTTTCCGCTTCACTTCCAGAAACTCTCATGCATGCGCCATAAAACTCACATCAGACCACCCTGCCGCGGTGCATTTGGTTTTGGAGACGGGATTCCCTGCTAATTATTTTTTATTTCCATTCGCTGCACTTCATAATTTCCTGTGCAGAAATGCGATTATAATTACCGGGGTGATAGTAAGCGCTTACCAGCCTGTACACCCTCTTTATCTCCTCCCTCTCCGTCTTTGTCTTCCATCCCACCTCGTCTATATTTAGCCGTGCAGCTCTCAGCTGCTCATCACACAGTCTTTTATCATATCAGCGAGCTGCTGCAGTGAAAAAACCCAGCTTTTGGACTGTACAGTAAATATTGAGTGCTGCTCAGCTCCGCTGTGCTTACATGGTCACGACACTCAAACACCGACATCCACGTGACTCCGCTCTTCCTCTTCCACTCGCTCTGGTCGCCTGTTTGGAAACTATTTTTCCTGCTCATGCCCATGAATTCATTACTGCCTCCGTCTGAATCTCCCCCATCTTTAGACATAATTGAATTTATAATTTCCTCCCTCTCTGTCTGTCTCCCTGCTGCAGTCAAGCTTTTTGAAGTGATCGAGACGGACAGGACGCTCTACCTGGTGATGGAGTACGCCAGCGGAGGTGAGACCAAACACCAACATGTCAAACTGGTCTGACTGTGACTTGAAGCCATCAGGGCAGAAACAGACGGTGTAGATGAAGCAGAAACCTGAAGCCAGTGCAGCTCCTCTATCGGCCACTAGAGGCTGCCTCCAGTCACATAAACCTCCATGTTAAAGTATACGACTTTACAGCAGAAATAAACACGTTCACAGCCCGCTACACAAACCGGTTTGAGTCTCTAGAGCTAACTCACTTATTCATGGTAGCTGAACAGTGTGTGGATGTTTCTGTAACTCACTTGTTAAAATTGTATCAAGGCTTAAAGTGAAACGATAAGTGGTCTTCACTTGTAACCACATCCTGAGCAACATGGAGTTTAACGTCAGGCCCAACGATTTTAGTGAGTTTTCTGTATATTAGCAGGAATGAAAGTTTTTTTTACATCTTGGAAAAAGTTTCCAAGCAACCAAACACATAGCCTGGAACAGAAAAGGCAAAGGTGTTACCATTAATGGAAAAACATATATACTCTAGGTATTTGTCTTTTGCTTTTTTCCGTGCTTTTCTGTGAAAGTCTATGAGTTTTTGTCACATGGCTGTTGGTCTTAGTTTAGTCAGTAATGGCTTCTGGGTTGCCTTAGGAAATACGGAATTTTTTGAAGAGGTTGGTTACTGCAAAAGATATATTTTCAACATTTTTTTTAATAAAACTTGTAGAATAAAGTAATTTTTGATTAAATATTGTGATTTTTAAGCTTAAATTTGGTTCATTTTTACCACAAAAATTAAACCTGCTTTTTACAGTTTCTGTCTGTGATAAATAGTGTGACTTTTGTGACTTTTAAAAGAACCCTCAGGCTGGTTTTGCGGTTCAGAGGGTTAAAGCTTAAGCTGTTCGATGTGTTCGACACTAGACGTAATCGTCTTTCCAACATTCAGAACCTGAAACTTCTCTACTCATGGGTCAATCGACCGGCCACCCTCTCCGTTGTTGTCTCAAGACAATCCAATAAAGGTTATTCAAACAAGCCGACTGCGTCCTCGGCGTCGACAGAAAGGCTAGAAGTCGGCGTCACCGCGTGCAGCTCTGAAGCTAAAACTGCACTGCTGTCTTTAATGGTTAGCCTAAATTAATTATGAATACGCAGCACGTGTCTTAATGGATGTTTTATATTTTATTGATTATATACTGGAGAGTAAACAGCTCAGAATCTTTTCTTATTGCCGGTATGCAGCATCGAGGGCTTTAGCAGTTACAGTAAAGTTTATAATAAATCACACACTGGAATGGTAAAATACAGACAATTCCTGCATTTGTTCTGTTTCCTCTTCTGTACCACAAACACACCAAACCGTGACTCTGAAAACCAACTTTGAACACTGTGATCACAATTATGTTTGCACTCACTTTGCACAAAGGCAGAAACTGTAAAACAGAAACAGTGAAAATGAAAAACCCTTGAACAACAGCTGCTGCACAGAGGACCAGATATAGTCGGCACAAATCTGCTCACGGTGCGCCGCTCGCGAGCTCCCAAGTATGATTTATTAACACCAAACGTGATAAATGTGCAGGTTAATAATTTATCCATCTTGGGAGCAGAATATAAAGTCTGCAGACTCTATTTGTACCTGAAAGGAAAAATGTACAAGAATATTGTTTCAGACAGAGACCTGACATCAGTGTGAGTCGGTAGAAAGAGCATGAAATTAGTCTTCACAGCAGAATAATGCTCTATATTCAGTCTTTGGTAAGACATTCTCAGGAAATAATGATGTTTTATTGTAGATAGTTTTATTTATTTTTTTGCTGTTTTTCATAGTCAATTCTCTAATTATGTGGATAAATGAGACAAGGGTCCATTTAAACCCAATTAAATGTTTATTATTCATTGAAAACTTCTTGTATATGTTTGGAGTAGTTTGCCTGTAGACCCTTTTCACCTCCTTTGCTTCAAGTCTAGCTTATTGAAGTTTTGTTAAAACCTAATTTATCTCTTTCAACCCTAAAACCCAGTGGCAGGTTGACAGTGAAAGCAGAGTTGGATTTTTAACTCTATCAATCAAACAAATCAAAGCTTAAAATTGTGGCATTTAATCACATTATTCTGCATGTTTTGTTTAATAATTTGCCAAAAAATCTGATTTTAAAAGGCATGTTGTCTTCAGAAAAATGTGAAAGTCTTTTATCAGAACCAGTAGCTGAAAAACTGAAGAAAAATCTGGACTTTTTCCACTTTCTGATGATCCTTGAGTTGCTCTTGTGTGACACGCTGTTAAAACTTAACCAAATCTGAACTGAAAATCAAATCACTTAAATCTGCACGATATTTTCAAAACAATCCCCAAAAATTAGCCGTTTACACTCACCACAATCTGTAAAAAAAAAAAAATCACAAAAATCTGTGCTTTAAAGCTGCAACCAACAGCCAAGTGAGAAAAACTAAGGGACGATTCGATTGAACTGTATAACGATATGAGTATGGAAGCAAATTAGGAAAGCAAGTAGTAAAATATCTACTATATACAGCCACCATTTTACAGTGTTGGTCACACAGAAATCTTCAAGTTTTGTTTGTGACTTTTTGTCAATGTCGTGCACACAAGACATTTTTGAGTTTTCGCTCCTTCTATTCATGGTTTTGCTGTTTCTATAAAAGCTCATGACTTCATGTTGCAGCAAAAAATGAGTGAAAATGTCACAGGAGCAAAATAAAACCCAGAAACTGCTCGGAGCTCATGGGGTAAAGGCAGGAAAAGATCATTTTTATTGGAAAAAAATATGTGCAACTTTGGTCGAATCAATCCCAGAGAATGACCTTAATAAAGAAAATAGGAAATCATCGACCTGTAAATTAATGCGTGGTGCTAGCAAGCGTTTGGAGATGTGTGAAACTTTAAAGCGGCTCCCTGGAGGTTGAAACAGGGTGACGTACACAAGAGTAAATCAGCGCTGAGACTGAAAACAGTCCATTTAAAACCCAGAAGAAGTCGGAGCAGGACAAACACGGCGGTCAGCTGGGTTTCCGCACAAACAGACGGATGCTGCGTTATCGGCTGCACGGACATCAGCGTGTTTATCCGGTTAATGCGTTCAGCATCACTCAGATGTGAAAGCGCTTCCTCCACTTAGTTTAAACTGATCCGACTCCTCTGCAGCGCCGCACGTCTTACATCTAGTCGTCTGGAGGAGGAAACTGGTGTTGCAGATGTACTTTCAGTGGTTTGCTGAATAAGTGACTTTGTTCTGTAGCCAGTGAAGAAGTATAAGTACAGTACAGTCATATATTTCACCACCACATGATCATCTTCCTCCTTGCACGAGTCCTCGTGGTTTTCTGGCCCCAAAAAGCAAAGAGCTTCGTGTGTTTTGTTCCAACTGTAAGAGCTCCAGCTTCTTTCCAAGTGTCACTTTGCTCTCAGGGGTCTTCTAGTGTCACGAACACCTGAAATCCACATCTCGCCATCGATTGCTCGGAAAGGTCATGTTTGAACCGCTGAGCCAAGCGGAGACGACAAATTGTGAAGACCTGCATGTCGCGGAGCAAATCGCATTACGACCGAGATGGGAGCTTTGATCGGAGGCCAATTGCATTAGATCTTAATGACGCAAATCTAATATTTCTTTCAGTTTGGCATTGATTTTTCTCAGAAGTCAGGCAGAATCTCAAGGTGGCCTCACAGCTCAGCAGACTCTTTTTTTTTTTTTTTTTCTTCCCGACCACATGGATCTCTCCTTGAACTTGTACACTTCAGTCCGACAAGAATATTGAAAAAGACGGTAGTAAATCTCCTTTCTGGCCTGAAGGGATATAGAAAGTAACAACAATTGTGATTTATTCAAATGGAGACGTGTCTTCAAGTAAAGTCAAAACAATAAATCAAAGCCGGTGCAGATCTGCTTCTTCGTTCACCAGCTGGAGAACCGCTCAGGAGCAGAAGACTCAGTGCTGTCACCAGTGGCCTGAAGCTGAACTGCAACGCTACATGTTTGAGTTGATTGTTTTGGGGGATTTGTGTTTGATAGTCCACAGCGAAAGATCTCAACAGCTACAGGTTGGAGAGACATTCATAGACTGGGTCGTGGTGAAATTTGGTACAGACGTCCACTTCAGGATAAGTAATCATATCTTTGACCCCTTAACCATCTGAGGTTGGGATTTTCAAAGCTTGACTTTCGTGCAAATTAACAAATGTTAGCACGTTAAAATGACAGTTACCAAACCTGCTCAGCTTCAACAATGTCAGGAAGGACAAGAGCTAACTCGGCTGTTGGAAGCGACTGTTTTAGATCCTTTCGGGCTGTTCCTGAATCTTGTGACCATCAGTGATCAGACCTTCGCTTCTCCTGCTCCCAAGCTGGGAAATTCCCTCAGAGATAATCTCAGACAGTCAGTGTCGCCTTTGAAAGCGTGACTGAAGACCCTCTTTTATCATAAGACCTTCTCTTAACGGGGTTTATTGAGGTTATTTCTTTGCATTCTTCCTGGTTTTTTTTGTTATATTTAGTGTTTTGTCTCCTGTATTTAATGTCTGCTTTGTGCCGAACCATGAAACTTTGTTTTAGAAAGATGCCAAATAAATAAAAGTGTTATTTTTTATTACAAACATGGATTGGTAGAACTGTGGCAACATGAAAACAACACATGGTCAACTCTTGTTATTGCATTATGAGCCAACCAGGTACAATTACAGCTTGTAATATAATGCATTTAGTTTTACACGAGCTCAAATCAATACGTGGTAAACATACGTCATGATCTGCATCGTCGCAACGCTTTTGATCCAACGTACAAGTATAAATCAAGCCCCAGTCCCCATTTATATGTCCGCTGAGGAGATTTACCTTCCATTGGGTTCATATTTTTTAACTTTAGTCTCAATCCAAACCTTTAAAAGCAGATTTTTTGACAGAAATGTTCCAGGAGATATCAGTGCAGGCTAATAGTCTTACTGACTCAAAAGGTTACTTCCAGATTAGTAAATTACACATAATTTAAACAGCATTCCAACCCTCAAATTCCTACAAGACAGTAATATTCCTACCTATTTTTTACGATATTTGTATTTAAAAGTGTACATTCCAGCCACTGTTTTCTTGTGGTTTTTTCCAGTTTTGTTTCCTGGTCTCATCCCCATGTACGGAACACGTTGTGCCCTTTAACTCTGACATGCAAAGTGTTAGCTGCCTCATTCTGTCTTTAGCGTTTGAGTCAGAGAGTGCACATGAATTGTTGCTTTTCCGGAGCTCTGAAGCACACAAACGCACACTCCGACCGCCTCTGCAGGTCAGCGCAAAGGGAGTGGGAGGGTTTCGAGGATCCGGGAGAGAAGTGGGGGAGGCGTTTGCGTTGCAGGTTTTTGATGCGCGCTGTTTTCTCTCTGCACGCACGCGCTCGCCGGCCTCTCGAGTTCAATTAGCACACGAGCGAGCGTGGTCACGTTTTGGCTGGAAGTGTGCAGAAGTGTGGGCCGAGGGAAGGGTCTGCTGCTGGAGACGAGCTCGGCGGCAGCTTTGTGCCTCCAGGAGAAGCTCAGTGTGGAGGAGGCAGCGCCGAGCTCGCCTCAATATGGTCAAGAAACGCCCTCCAACCATGCACATGGGTGACGGCGCGGGCCAGCTGCGAAGAAAAGTTATTTTTATCCGCTTATTTTTATAAGCCGTGATTCACTTTTTTTTGTTGTTGTCCTCCACCTTCTCTCCGTGTTTTCCTCCTTCACCGACGCCTCATTCATTGCCTTTAACACCTTCTCTGTGTCTGATTCTGTGTGTTGCAGGAGAGGTGTTCGACTACCTGGTTGCACATGGAAGAATGAAGGAAAAGGAGGCCAGAGCTAAATTTAGACAGGTACCCAGCTTTCTCCCCCTGCAGTGTTCTGGTTTCACACCTCTGCTCCCGGCTCTGCTTCAGACCGGCCGCCGTCCTCCGTCCTGCCTCGGAGGGCAGCGGATTCTCTGCTGCGGGAAGACTGATGAGAAATGTCCAAACCGGCCTCGTTTCTCATCACTCACCTCTCAGCGACCGTCACAAACGAGCCAATGACCCTTTTGTGACGATAAGAAGCTGCTCGGACTTTGTTTGATTTACTGAACGCAGCGGATCTGAGACATTTAATCAGTTTTTGTCACAGATTTAAAGTTTAGGGACTAAACAATGTCCTCAGGGGGTTATTTATTCAGAGTTTAACACTCAGAAACTCTTCTCCGGGTCTCTTTTGGCAGTAGTTTAATCAGATTCGATAGACAGTGAGTCTAAAAATGAGCCTTCTGGGGATGACTGTGCACAACACAAAGCATTATCAACCCTTGTCCAGGAAAGACAGATAGTCTGTTACCTTAATCAATAGAAATCTCTGCATCTGCTGTCACTTCTGACCTTTTAATAAACAAAAATGTCATTTGTACTCAAGTAAACAAAACCCCAATTACCAAAAGTGATTTTAAAAATGTTATTTTTTATTCTCTATTCTTTTTGACACTGGAGATTTTTTTGTCCTTGAGGGAGACTGCAGCTCTTCCACTTCTCCTGATGGTACCTGCAGACCCTCCTCTGGTCACCACGATGATCCTCCACATGAAGGTTGAATCATTCGGCAGCTGAACGACACAGAACGTGATGACATGAAAGCTGCTGCTCACACATGTTGCACACACATGACCGTGATTTGATTTGTACATCTCGAACAGCATCAGAACTTCCTGATCGCACCTTGTAGAGCGATTGTGAAATCAAAATTTGCTGTTTTACATTGTTGGGGTTGTAATACAAAAATAACAGCTTAAGTCCAAATTGGTTGTATTCAGCAACAGATGTCCTGATCAAGGGTTTTTTGATCCTGATCCGAGTCAATGATATTTAATATTCAGTATCCATTTTCCTACATAATCACACTTCAAGCATTGCAGATTAGCTGTAGCGTCTGGTTTTGCCGACAGGTGAAGCCGCCTGCTGTTTATTGCTGTAGTAACACAAGTAGGCTTCACTTCACGTTGGCAAGCAGAGAACAAAAGCACGAGTTTAGCTGGTAAAGGGGCACCATGACAGAGACTTCTATGAGGTTTTCTGACCTCAGGCAGGAAACTATAACAGTTCAGATCAGTTTTATGATTTATTTTTCACATTTCCCCGTGACAATAAATGCAGCAAGACTAGTCAAAAGTTCCCGTGATCGTCTGCGATCCCAATCTTAGGACCGGGCTTGGGACTTCCCTGTAAACAATAATGATGCACGAAACTGTTCCCTTGTGCCATGTGTGGTTTTGAGGATGGTATAGTCTCCTTTGCCAGTTTTTGTTTGGAGCTGAAGGCTGAGCATCTCAAGAGAAAGATGCAGCAGCAGTTTGCACCAATGCACATTTGGATATGTTAAAATGAAAGGTTCTCTGAATCTGGTATTGTTAATGCAAGAAAAGGGCGTTTCTGTTTTATTTTTACATTGTTTTATGGCAAAAAGTCGATTTTAATGTATAATCTGGAGCTGAGGATGCAAAACAGAGATCCAGAAGATGTCTCATCATTACATCAGCGATGCTCTTTCTCGGCCTGTGAGAGATGAATGTACAGTCGAGCCACTGCGCACAGAAAGCCTGTTTTGTCAGCCCTGTGGTGTCTTTAGTCCCACCTTCGCTGCGTTTTATCTTTCCTGTTAGTGTCAACCACATCTCCACCTCCACCACATCCTTTATCGCCGCCTGAGAACTCAGCAGCTGCCTTGTAACTAAACTGTGCCTGTCTTTTTTCCCCGTGCAGATCGTATCGGCGGTGCAGTACTGCCACCAGAAGCACATTGTTCACAGGGACCTCAAGGTGAGTTCAAAGCAGCCACACTGCACTGGAGTCAGTTCAGTAGCTGTTGAAGATCACCTCACAAGAGGCTGTGGCTACTTTTTGTGCACAGAGGACAGTTTGAGTGGAACACAATGCAACACAGCCACATGATGAGGCATCGAAAAGGTTCGAGTGTGCAGCAGTTATCAGATAAACGTCAGGCCTTCTGGTGGAAGCAGGCAGCTGGTGTGAGAAAATGTCAGAAATTAGATGGATGCCAGATTTTTGTTTGGTATGTAAATATCTCCAGATTTGGTTACTTAAAAAAAAATATGAAGACAAAGGCAGGAGCAACACAGCAAACTTTAATATCAGAAACATTCAAAATATAAGTAGCAGTGAATTTAAAATCACTGTAAACTTCTCTGGAGTATAGACCAGCTTTCAGCTATTTTTTTTTCTTCTTGTAACATCTCTACTACTAAAGATAAAAGCCTCAGGAATTCCAGCAAAGTGGGATCCAAAATGAAAAATGCCCGTATGAAAAATAAGTCATTAGTTGTATTTGAAGAACCATTTTAAAACTCCAGAACTCTGATTTACGTGGATCAGATTATCTACCAATGTTTTTGTTTGTTGCTTTGCGTTCAACATCAATACCACTTTCTAAAATGTATTCACCAAGTATTTCATATCAAAAGGTTTTCCACGGGTTTTGTGTTTTTGTGACATGCAGCTACATGTGGTTCAGAAACTACCAGCAGCTGTCTTTTTTTTTTCTGAACATGTCCTCAAAGCCTTTCATGACGGCCTTATTTGTTTTATCAGATTCAGAAACAGATTTATTGCCAGGTATAGTTTACACAATACGAGGATTTTGTTCTGTTGAGTTGGTGCAACAATAAATATAGAGTCAGGTACAAAATGAAAATATAAAAATAGCTAAAAAATAAAAGTAATTAAAAATAAAAATAACTAATAGTGCAAAGCAGAAGCAAAAAATGTTGTGGAGTGAAGAATTAAAGTTAAATTTAGACAAGAACCATAAAACTGTTGTATTATTTACAAGAATATTGAGGGTGCAGATATATTGATATTTACATTTATACAGATTATCAAAAGAGTGCAAATTGAAGGTGTGGAGGTGCAACATGACCAATAACAGTGCAACGAGTGAGTTATATATTTTAACTCACCCGTAATCAGAGACTATTTGATGTAATTGTCCAATATTGCAGATTCTGAATCAATGATGAAGTAACAGCAAACAATTCAGGCTTTTATCTTTAGTAGTTTCTGAGATGTTGTCGTTCAAACATAACCTCAAATTTAAAATGTGAGGAAAAAACCTGCTGTAAATGGGTCGGCGGGCAATTTTTAAACCAATATATCTTAGGAAGTATTCGATATATCAGGCTAAAATTTCACAGACACCATTTTTAATTTCCATTATTTACAATGAAAAAGCAAATCAGAGAATGCGCAGAAGGTGCCTGATGATTTCAGATGGAATAAGGCATTCATTATTTATTCTTGTATCACGGAAGCTGTCGGAGGTGCAGGACTTTTTATTACACTAAAAAATGAGTGAACATTTAACGGGGTTAAGATGCTGATTTGTAGAAGTTTTTTAAAAGCATTTACGTTTATCAATATTCAGAGTTTAGATGCTTCCACCGTTGAGACTGACGGCTTGTGACTCATATTGAACAGGAAAGGTCACGGCGTTGACGTCAGCGTGTCGTATGGTTCTCATCTTTTTCCTCCCATGTTCCCGCCGTGTTTCATCCTGAACTCTGCTGCTAACGAGGCTCAGCTTTGGCCTTCGTTAGTCGTATCGCTGCACCGAACTAAACGTTCCTCCAAACCGCTCACATGTTCGCCACCACATCGCACCTCCTCCTCCTTTCACTCCATCCAAGGATAAATATTGATGCGTCTGTATTTTTATCTTGCCGTGTGTGTGTGCGCTCTGCCTGAAGTGTTTCCTCTGTGGAGCTTCATCAATGATCCATGTCGAGAGAGCAGCACATGCATCCAGGAACATGAGATCAGGCGTCAGCTTTCGTCCACACGTGCGATTGTGAAGAACCGCCAAAACCGACCGCGATCCCTCGGGCTTGTCGGCCACTTCGAGGCCTCGTCGTCGTCTGCTGATGATGGTGTTGTTGTTGTTGTTTACGCCGTCGTGCAGCTGAAAGCCTCTCAGGCTGTCAGCTCGATGCTTCAAGATTCCTCCGCGCGCTCAGTCTCGGCTTCCTAATTAGCGCCTGGCCTGCAGCTACATGTGAGCAGCGAGCAGATGTTCCAGCTGAAACCTTCAGCTTCAGTCACAGAGGAGACGTTAATTGTTTTGTAGGATCAGACTCCATCAAACAGACTGTTGTATGAATATGCAAAAGAGCAGATTACAGCTGTAATGATTAGCTGATTGACAGAAACACCGATTGAGTAAATGTTTGAAAGGGTTTTTCTCAGTTTTATGGTGCGGTTAATTGAACATCTTTAGGATTTTGGGCTAACGGCCAAACAAGAAGCGTGTATCGGGCATTTGTCCCTACAGCTGCTAATCGATTTGTTGGTTTGAGTAACTGTTTTAAGGAAAAATCTTCAGCTTCTTTCCTCCTGTGACACTACAGTTCATATCTTTAGGTTGTTGACAAAACAAGCAGTTAGAGAAGGTCATCAGAGCTTTAGGAATCACTGATCAACCAACAACTAACTGAAAAAAATCCCAAAATTATTCAACAAATGAAAGCAATTTGTAATTACAGACCTATTTTTTTTGTCATTTTTTGACATTTAATGGTCTATAATGAATTGATTTACTGAAAATAAGGATTTTTTTTTTTTTAATGGACAAAACATTTTTGTTGCCTTTTCAATAAACACTTGTTTTGCTACATTCCTGCTAAATGTGCAACTCTTTGCATCAAAATAAGACTTCAGTGCTCTTAAAGACCTCACTTGCTAAATATCTGCAAAATATTAGACGCTACGATTCATCTGTGTTCCCTAAACGCCTCACGTTGCCGGTTATGTAGATGTTAGCGAGTCGCCGTGCACAGAGAAGCTTCTAGTCGCCATCAGTTACTGCAGCTCAGACAGCTGTGACACCAGAAATACGTTCAAAAAGAGTAAAAAAAACATTTTCTTAGGTGATTTAATACAAGCCAAAGTGATTTTATCTACACTGTTTTCTATGAGTCGAGCATTTTGAACATCAGCAGTCGTTCATGTTTATTTAATTGTGGGAAGCCAAAATCATGATTGTGGTTAATGTTTGATTAATTCTGCAACCCGACATACAAGTACTGGAAATGCCAAGTCGGTTGATTTCCCACTTGGATCCCTTCAGTTGCATTTCGGATATAAATCTGTAAAAATAATATTAATTAGTAAAGTGTCATTAGTCACTCTGCTGATCTTCACTTTGACCACAACACTTCAGATTTAATATTAACCTGAAGAAGACGTGTTGAAGGAGCTTCATTAAAGTCAAACACTGATGTGCTGCAGCTAAAAGTTTCCCGCTTTGTGTCCATGTGAAGGCCGAGAACCTGCTGCTCGACGCCGACATGAACATCAAGATCGCCGACTTCGGCTTCAGCAACGAGTTCACTCTGGGCAACAAGCTGGACACGTTCTGCGGTTCTCCGCCCTACGCAGCGCCCGAGCTCTTCCAGGGGAAGAAGTACGATGGTCCGGAGGTGGACGTCTGGAGTCTGGGGGTGATCCTGTACACGCTGGTCAGCGGATCGCTGCCCTTCGACGGACAGAACCTCAAGGTGGGAAAGTGTGTCTGATAAAGGGTCAACGGATACGTCTGGGCCTTTTAAAAGGTTGTTACCGCTTATTGGTGATCAAGAAAACTGATATTTAGAATTAGAATTAGAATAAAACTTTATTAATCCCTTCGGTACAAGACCTCAGGGAAATTGCTACACCAAAAAACAACACAACGCCAACATAAAATCAGCAACAAAACATCAGCATTCATATTCAAATCAAGTCCAAATCAAAAATTCAAATCAAAATCAGCATTCAAATTCAGTATACAATATACAGATACAGATACAGTAACATATTGCACAGTCTGGTGATAGAGCATGATGCTGATTTGGAGCTGATATACAGTAAATCTTGTGTATTAACAGCACGTGATTGCAGGAAACCTTTCTTTCATCACGAGTTTACTTCAATAATATACTAGAACTAAACATGTGCAATAAAAACAGGAGCGGTGATGCTACAAGGCTCGCCTCTGTTCACTGAGGCTGATAGAGATCAATAACAGTTCATCTCCTTCTGTTCTTCTCTGTTCTGCTCATATTTCACTGCTCTGTCACTCCCATTGCCCACTAAGATCCCTATCATTCAGCATTATGAGTTATTCTTCTCCAGACTCTGTTTCAGGCTAATCTGTGGCTGCCTCCTCATTTAGCTGCTAGCTGTTAGCGTAGCCTCAACCACCATGAAAGCAGCAAACGTCCTGATTTGTGGTGATGACTGTGCTCCTTGCAGGTTGTGTCTCTGTCAGTTAGAGCAGATTAATAAAGTTAATCTGACTTTAGAAAGAGGTAACAGTGCTCCAGTTAGCGTCAGCTGAAGGCTAAGGAAACCCGCTCAGTCGACCCCTGATGCCGACGTCCTGATGCCGACCAAGCAGTGTGTTAACGTCACATCACAGTAACGAGCAGAATCTGAGCTTTGAGGTTGCGAATAGTTGCACCTACCAAAGTAATCATGTTATGAAGACGGATCAAATTTGTGCAAAGTGATATTTTCACCGATTCGCTCGCCCGCTTCCTCCCTCCTGCTTCTCTGTGGAATAAATAACAAAGTGCCTTTTGTTCTGTAATGTAGGCCAACCGCATATCGGAATAAGCAGCACAACTTCCCCCTCCTGACAATACGAGTTGTTCCTTTGTGTGCCAAAGAGTAATCTGATTTCTACGTCATGCAGTGTCCCACCGGCAGGGTTCTGATATTCAGACAGTCCCTCGTACCATTATGAAATATGTCTCTGCTGCCAACAGTTATGGTGACACATGTAAAAACACAGCATTTATTTCCTTGATTTGAAGGCTAATCTAAAAAAAAAATTGCAGGTATTATTATATCAAATGATAGAAAATCTGGACAGTAAACATTGTTCTGAAGAAAACAAAACAAGATACAACATGACTGTCCTTATAATAAACAAGATGAGAGCTTAAAAGTATATGTAGTGAAATTACCCTCAAAATAATCTACTGCTCATCGGGTTAATGGTGTAATAGAGGTTTAGATTCAGTGAAAATGTATTGGTTTAAAACCATTTGTCTTTTAGTTTGCCTTTTTAAAAGTTGTAAGACCAAGACAGAGGCAAGTCCCATGTTTGTTTTGTTTTAAAATTATATAATCTCGATAATAAATTAATTTTTTGGGGGGATATTTTTTTTTTAAAAAGGGTGTTTTGTGAGTCAGGCTGTGAATGAAATCTGAAAACTAGAAAGGTTCTGTGAATATAACTTCTACTGATGTGATTTCTGGCTCAAAATGGGAGGAAAAACCTGAACATTTTTGTTGTGTAAAGTTTTCTAAACCAGTCTGTGGACATTATAAGAAAAGCTGGAAAGTTTGGTGAGTTTTGGTTCGACTGAGGTGAAGATTTCTCTCTCTCAGTTTGAGAGAAAAAAAAAAGAAAACAGCCTGTAAAGACATAGATGACAAACTTGTATACATTATTTTTTTAGAAACCACTATTTAAAGGTATAAAATAAATAAATAATGGTAATGAAACCAGTTTTTTTAGTTGCACTATGACAATATTTTTTGTATTGTTAGAGTTTAGCGTGATTGTGCAAATGGGTAGTGTCTCTTTTAAAACACAAACTTATGCCTTAATGCCCACTAGACTGTACAAACACACCTAAATGTGCATTTGTTTATGTTTTCTTTCCACTAGAGTGATATCAGATGTGTTAGAATAATAAAACCATTTGTATTGCAGTAAAAGGAACCCACAGTGAGTAAAAGGGAGCAGACAGAAACCCATGAAGGACCGTTGGGCAGCTCTGTTAATCACTGTTGTCTCAGTTTTCACATATTTGTACTGTGCGGAAAATCATCCGCATTAAGGAGAGGAAACGATAAATTATAATCCGAGTAGTTTGTTTTTCTCAATCAATGAATCGACTGTTGGTCTCGGCTCCAGCAGGACGTGTTAGATCTATCAGCGGCTCTTTTCTGTTTAATTTCTTGTGGCGTGAAACTGAGATCTGTTCGCTCGTTGTTTTGGCACAGATGTGACGTGTTTTTCTAACTTCTCTTTCTGTGCAGGAGCTGCGGGAGCGTGTGCTCAGAGGAAAGTACAGAATCCCGTTCTACATGTCCACGGACTGCGAGAACCTCCTGAAACGCTTCCTGGTGCTGAACCCGGCCAAGCGGGGTACTCTCGAGGTGAGGGAGGACGCAGAAAATGTAAATATACCTCTCGCTTCTTAACTCTGCCCTTCAGCACGTCAGCACCATCGGAGAATGTTTCCTCCACCTCCTCCCTCCTGTCGGCCCTCCCCTCTGCATCACCACGTCCTGATTTCTCCTCCTCCTCCTCCTCCTCCTCTCTGGTGTCATCAATAATGCATCGTCATTTTTTTGTGTGTGTTTGCACCGAAATTGTCTTTTTGTGTTCACGGTTGTGAGTCGAGGTTTCCTCACAGTTGGATGGGAGAGCACATGTAGCCTCCCGTGTGTCATTATCAGGAGAAAGTTAAGGAGATAAACAAAAAATACAAACATCAGAAGTGAGGTATTGCAGATGTTGCTGCAGGGTTTTTTTTAATAATTTCTTTCAGTTGCAGCAAAACCAGAAAATCTTTAGGAAGACATTGTGATTTCCAAAGAGTTTAAGGACAGTTGAATGGGTTAAAAATGACTCGAGAGATCACAAAGAGGCTTCACCAGTTGTTGTTTTGCATCAGGATAACTGTTTTTCTATTCTAAGTTTTAGAATTTATATGTTTAAATATGTAAGTTGGGTATTATCTACCAAACAGGCACCAATTTGCATGAATTCCAACAACAGAAATGTCAAAACTGGATGAAGGCAGCTGCAAAATTTCATCTTGTTTAAACATTAGGAGTCAAAGGCTGTACAGGGGGCATGTTAAATATCTCTTTAATGAATCTATAAATCAGAAAATATCTTAAACAGCCAGACAAAAATCCACGTTTTTTTAAGAACCTGATGTTCTAGAAACCAGGTTGTGAATGACGAATGAAAAACTGGACATTTGCTGTTTGTAAGTGCTGCTGAAGAGGAGAAAAATCTGATAAAAACAACCTTTAAATAGAAGCTTTATGGAGCTCAGGTGAACGTTTTACCTGTCAGATATCACCATGAAACTTCCTAGTTGATTACTTCCATGTTTTGTAAAAATGTTGTGTTTAATCATCCCAATGAGGCGTCATCTCTTCAAATATGCACCATTTTGCTGTAATGTCTGACAGACAAAGTGCAGTAAAATGAACCCTTATGGTGTATTTTGGGTGTTTTCTTTCTACTAATATGAAAGAAAACAGAAGCAAAATATGCCAGAATTTTATCAACACAGGAAAACCTGTGTAGCCTTAATGAGCAACTATTCTGATAAGGAAGTCGTCATCTCAGGCATAATTTTAGCATAAATGCCCCAAAAATGTGCTCGAGTCTGCAACGCTGAAGGGTTTGTTTGTCTTAGATGACAGTGAATGAAATATCTTTGGGGGACAAGTGTTAATTTATTCATTTGTATAATATTTTTATGTTTTATTAACTAGATGATTGATTCGTTTATTAAGAATTACCAAAATATATCAACAGTATCCAAAGGAAAAGTTCGTACCTACCTATCGATTGGTTGCAAGGAAATAAAAAGGCTAACATGTGCAGTTTATATAATCGTAAAAATGTAGTTGGATCAGAGCAGATCTACAGAGCTGTAGTCTGCTGTTGTATCAGATCTTTATCATTGATCCCTGTTCAGTGTTGTGAAGCAGTGAATCGTCTTTCTGTAAAATCTGCAAACCAACCAGCTGCTCTGTCTGTTGGATAAGTGGAGTTGAGTGAGCTTTGTTTTGTCATAGCTAAATATGAACAGAAGTCAAAATACATCTGCAGCAAAGATCAAGAAAACCTTAGATGCACCAGAACACAAATTCCCAGCAGAACTTTATCCAAGATGCAAATAAAATGGAAGAAATTCTGCAGCTCTACTGGGGTTAAGAACAATTTTACTGAGACCGACGTGTTTCTATCAGAGGTCACAGCGTGTCAGAAAACGTCCTGACAGATCCCAGTCGAACATTTAATTTTCCACATTTTATACCAGGATGACAGCAGAAATATTTAGACGGTTAAAATAATCCGAGCGTTTGATGACGGAGAAGATTGTTCCGCCGATCAAAGCGTCGACCATCGTCCTGCTTCGCGCTCGCCACTAAATCATTTACACATAAAACACAGGAGTATTTTTATCACGTGAACTTCCGACCCGCTGTTTAATCAAAGAGCCGCTCTGCGTCTTTCACGCCGAGGAAACCGCTTTGCTGCCTGTAAGTGAACTAAACCCAACGCTGCCGGCTCGACTCCGACGGTCACATCTGCTGGCATCAGATGCCACACGATTGGCCTGGATTATAACGGTTACATCAGAGCAAGATAATTAGTTTGGCTTCGGCATCGGTTAAAAAAAAAAAAACAGAGAGCAATTGATCGGCTGCAAATTAAAAACAAAGGTGCAGATGGATGAGATGCGGCGCGGTTCGATACGACTGTGGTTCTGCTGCCACACGGAATCTGATTTACTGTTCGTGAGGCGTCAGATTTATTCGTGGAAATATGCTCGTCCCATCTCAAAGCATCACCGTTAAAGGACAGTTTCTGCTTGAACATCTCTGATTATTGCATAAAATCTAGATATTTATTAAGATATCTGTGAAAGTTGTCCTTAATATACCAAAAACTTTTTTTTTTTTTTTGAAAATTGCCCCAACAGTTTTCGCAAATTTGAGACCGTTTGAATGACATTATCTCAGGAACTATTAAAGATAATAAAGATATTTCTCATCGAGTCATTAATTCAGAATCTGCAATATTAGACAAGTAGATCAAATAATCTATAAATATGGAATAAAAGTTGAAGCCGTTATCAAAAGTTTTTGAACTGATGAATTGATCAATCAGAGGTCGATTAGTGATATTTTCTGAACCACATGTAGCTGCACGTCACAATAATACCAAAATAAACATATACTATAATTTTTGATATAAAATAATTGGCCAAACTTATATAACCAATTGAGCAGGTTTGACAAGATGTGCCACATGAGCCAAAATATTGGTGGATAGTCTGATCCAAGTAGAGTTTTAAAAAAAGTTCTCCAAATACAGCTGAGAATATTCGTTTATTTTTGGAGCCCATTGTGTTGTTGTGACTTTAACCTTCAATAGTTGCTTTGATATAATCGTTAATCACATTTAAAACTAAAAGAACAAACAGACTGGGCAATTTAAAAGCTGAAAAAAGTGTCTTAAAGTATTAAATCAGTGCAAAGTTTCAAAGATACCATTATAAATATCCAGAGTTTATGATAGTAAAAAAAATTAAAATGAATGCTGTTGTTATTAAGATGGAATAATCCAGGTTGTCTTGGCTTTTTTTTTTTATTATTTTAAGATTTAAGTTTCACATTTCATGAAAAATAGTTGGTGAATGTTCAGTTGAGGCCAAAATTATTGTTATTAAGCGGCCAAATTTAGATTTATGGGGAGTTTTTATTTGACTTGTGTGTCTCTTCTGGCTGCAAACGGCGCTAATAAGGAACAAAAGGCAATGAGGCGACGTGTTAGAGATATTAATGATGTTTTGTTCATACTGAACATAGGATGGTGTCGCAGACTTTTTGAGAAAATGCATCTTCTAAACCTTTCCAAATGCTACCAGCTTCTAAGACTCTATAAACCGAGAACAGCTGATGCAGGACGTTCTCTCGTCAACTGCAAGTCATGGCTGAGACCGAAGAGCTCAGGGAGGACTTTTGGTTGCACTTTGTGGCTTCTCACGAGACGTTTAAAGGCTGTCAAGTCGTATCCAAGTGTTCCAACCTCGAAAACCTGCAGAGCGTCACCGAGAGGAGCAGGAAAATGGTTATCAGCACAGTGGAAATTACTATTTACCGCTTGGAAATGTTGGAGAAAATGCAACTTCTCTGCTTTTCTAGCACTTTATGGGGGGTTGCAACGCTTTGGATGTGAAGGTTTTGGTTGAAATGTTAAAGAAAACACAAAAATAGTTCAAGTTGATCATTAAAATCTCCAACACGATGTCTTTTGTCGCTTGTTTATGTCGTTTAAAGTCATAAGAAACAAACAGAAATTCACCATAAATCAAAATCTGACATGAACGATTTCAGGTCTCTGTGTTCAGTCGGCCTCTAATTGTGTCACTTTGTTTTACAGCAAATCATGAAGGATCGATGGATCAACGCAGGATTTGAGGAGGACGAGCTCAAGCCTTACACTGAACCAGAGCTGGACATCACGGATCAGAAGAGAATAGGTACAAAAAAATCCTGCATTTTATTCTCCTCTGCTCAGTCATTTAAATTTTCAGCGATCTTTAAGAACCGCTGGCCTGAGACGGACCCTGTTGTGCAATCCCAAAAAAAAAAGAAAAGAAAAGAAAAGTGCACACCTTCTCCTTTTCATTTGTGAAGTGTTTCGGTGGGAAGAAGAAGAAGTGCGAGGTGTTAGCGGGGCTGCAGCTCCACAGCCTCGTTATTTCAGCGCTGAGCAGCTTTAAAAGAAAAGATGAAACGTGATGATGAATAAATAAACACGAGCGGTGGTGTTGCATGCAAAGAGAAGCCTCCCGTCGTGCCCCGAATGAAGCCTGTAAATGGAGGAGGAGGGAGGGGGGTCTTACATAACTGCAGCTGGGGTTGCACATGTGTCGGTACGAACTCCCGGTCACCCAGGAAAAGAAGAAAAAAAGGAAAGATAAAGAAAGCCGAGGCAGAGAGAGAGAGACGAGGAATCCCTGAACTCTAAATAATACATGTAAAACTTTCCCCCAAAGAGACGCAGCAAAACGCTTTAAAGTGACGTGACTCGAGGCAGCAGGGAAACAAACAGTACCTGGAAAAACAGGTGAGACTTGAGCCTTGAAGATTTGTTGGCAGGTTTATGTGCAGCTCTGACGTCTGAGTAAACCTCAGAGACTTTAACCCTCCGAAGCCCGGCAGCTTCTTCTTCTTTTGTTTAAGCTGCTGTCACATTTTTCCAACGTCTCCTGGTTTTAGAAAACTGCTTTTGTTTATTGATGCTGCAACTTTTACACGACTCCTCTGAACCCCAAAACCTTCCAGTGGGTTTAAAAGGCACGTTTTTGTTAAGAAAAATGTCAAAATTACACAATTTATTCAGCCAGATGCTGTAAGAACAGAAGGAGTTAATGTAAACAGTCTTCTGTGCTGATAAACACTGTTAATATACCATAAATCATAAAAAAAACAAAAACAAAAGGAGAAACAAAAATCTGACTTTTTGGAGAATTTGTTTTGCAAAAATTGGAAAAACCTGGAATTAACATGCCCAACATTTTCTAAGCCTGGCACCAACTCTGGAAAAAAAATAGAGCCTCTACCTACTATAGATGTTCTATTAAATAAACGATGTCATCTCCTCTCTGCATTACCCAGCCTGCAGTTCACCTGGAATTCTGAATTTTTTCCACGTGACTGGTGGTTGTAGCTGAGTCATTAGTGGCTTGTCAGTTGTGCTAAGGAACCAAGAATTTTTTGTTTTTTATAGAATCTGAGTCGAGCAAACTGTTTGTTTTTGGCAAATTTCTGAAGTGATTTTGATGAAATATTACCGACAAAACGCACGTTTAGTTCAAGGACTTGCGGAAAATTGAAAAATCCAACGGTTCTTTCTGTTTTTATAGTTTCTGGGTTTAATAAATGATGTAATTTTGGCATTTTAATGAAAGAAACAAGCTTTTTGTTACCACTAGCAGGTTTCAGAGGATTAACCTAAAGGTTGCAGCAGCAGCACACGGATCAATAAATCAAATTTGAAAAAAGCAGTTTTTGAAAGCCAGGAGACACGTTGAATGAGCCAACCTGAAGCTATTAGATGATTGACTGTTTGTTTTCAACCTTTTTGTAGAATCTCAAAGGTGAATTATTGCTGGTTTTCTATCATAGTAAAGGGATTCTTCTGGGGGAGTTTTAAAGGATAAATTTTAAAGGATGTTTGGTTTCTAGCAAGCGTCCAAGTCTTCAATCATAAAATACACAGAATTCATCACTCGTGCAGCATGAGAAATGTCTTCTTGAATATCAGGAAGCAGTTCTTCTAAAGGTCTTGTCATGTCTGAATGAAGCCGCGAGGAGCGTTTACGTAACCGACCTAACCTGTGCAACCTCCGTCTGCGTGACAGAGAGACGTCACCTGAACACATAGATGGAGGCAGCGATGTCACGAGCTCCATCTCTGGAAAGCCCGTTTCTGTTGTTCTTCCCCCTGAAACAAACAGTTATTTATCTGATGCAGCTGCAGAAAGCGTCTAATAAACTGACAGAAGTGTTGGAGAGTGAAAGTGAGAAAGATGAGACGGAGCTCTGAGGGGGATGAAGACCGACGGCAGATCACAGAATCTGCCTGGTTACAGAGGCAGAGCTCGCCTCGCTGCAGCTGACGTCGTCCACGTGACGCCTGACGTTGCACTTAAGTGTCACTTTCCAGGTGCAGAAACCCAGTATTTTCTGGTAAATCACGCCTTCCGACTGGTATTTTATCAGTTTACGCTGAGATTTGTCACGTCTGCCAGAGTTAATTGCGCCACGTTGGCGTGGAAAGATTTAATTCGACCAAATTAGAAGGCGTCAGTTCGTAAAAAAAAAAAAAACGCCAAAAGAAAGCCACCGAAAATAATAGCATTAGAGCAGCTTTCAGCGGAGAGTTTGACTGTGCTGGGGAAGCTTTTCCACCCCGACAGGAAGAAAATCCTGCCAGACAGGAGGAGACGTTTTAGTTTTACAGGATTTTATGCAGGGTTTCTGAGTTTTAGCAGCAACAGAAGTTTGGGGATTTGCCCTCAGAAGATCCAGAGGGGCTTAAGAGCATACAGTCGTCCTCTAATGTATTCACACCCTCCCATTAAAGACAAGGCAAAACTCACAATAGTCACTGAAATAACTAGAACTGGAAAAAGTAGTAATAAATAAAAATTTGCAAAATTATAATGTAGTGAAATAAGACGTTGCTTTTGAATTGTGGTTGAAAAGAATAATTTAAAAAAAACACAACTGTCCCGGACAAATTAGAGCCCTTAGCTGATGAGCAGTAAAACCAGAATACCTGTGAACAGGTGCAGAAGTCTGACTGAGAGTTACAGAAAACACCGGATGGCAGTGATTGGCTCAAAGGGTTGTTCAACTATACATTAGTTTAATGGTCCCATTATGCTTGTTTTTTTCTTTTATTATATTTATATTTCTGTCGAACCACAATTCAAAAGCAATGTCATGATGTTTATAAAATTTTTATTTATTACTACTTTTGGCAATTTCAACTTATTTCATTGACAGCTGTTGTTTTCCTTCTTTAATGGGAGGCTATGAATACATCTGAGGACAACTGCAGTCGTAGGTCAAATAATTCAACCAATTATCAAACTGTAACTGTACATGATAATAATTTACACTAAAACATTAATGTAAAGTTGTCAAATTGTTCTATCAGCCTCTTCATAACTTGTTTAGAATGTTTGCATATGCAGACAGGATGTGGGATGAGTTAGAGGTGAGCAGTATGATCGTATGTACAGGAGGGTTTAGCTGGTGAAGGACCACCATGACAGTCTTCTGGTAAATCAAGCCGGGATCAACTAGAATCTTCTGTATGTCAGTGACTTAGAACTGCAACGTCAGCACAGAATTAATGTCCAGCGTGCTCAATTTGCTTTACAAATCCATTGATTATTGATCGACAATGCTGCATTTATTAGGAAAATTATTCGGATTTCAGGTGTCTGTGTGACAGCTTAGGTTAATGCTAACACAGATCAGTTAAACACTGCTTGATCTGACTTTTATTTGTTGAAATGTATTTCCATGTTGAGCTAAATTCCTGCTAACATACAAAATGAGACTCTCAATAATCGTTACCCTGAATTCAGTGCATCGTCTTGAAGCAAAACATTAATAAAACTGTCCCCAAAACATCTCACTGGCTGAGCATCTGCTGACCGATAGACAGAACAACGTTTTCAGTCTTTGATCTGCATAATATTCCTTTTCAATAATGGCAAATATCTGTAAAGTAATTCTAATTTTGCTGATTTATGGTCAAACTCTGTGAAAAATCTAATTTCCGTTTGTAAAAATCTATATCTATGATGCAAAAGTTATTTACAGTGTTGGCCGTTTTATGTTCTTTTGTTAACACGTAAACAAATGCTTTTTTGCAAAACATTTAGCAAAATAGCTAAATGTTTTCTGCAAGTAAAATCTGTACAATGACAGTTAAAATGTAAATTTGCCGTTTTTCAATCCTTATTATAAATAGTTTTCTTTCAAATAATAACAAATATCTGTGAAATTCTGATTTTTTTCAGTCAAATTTCATCATCAAACGTGAGCAAACGAATTACGATTTGTAAAAATACAGATTTAAATATGTAATTTAGTTTCTATGATTTTACTAGATGTTATCTGTAATTTAACACAATCTGTAAAATCAGTAAATTGTTGGAAAATGTAGTCGCAAACGTTCGTTTGTGATCATTTTTACTGTTCAGGAGTCGTATAAAGACGCTTAAACAGGACCGTTCTGGTTGGTTCTGAGCTGCCTGCAGTCAGCAAACAGATTATTTATCCAAAGTTAAAACCATTAATGCTGTGAAGTAGCAAGAGTTTGAAAAGAAAACGATCTCTTTATCTCCCCCCGAACACGAAAACACCCGCCGCCTCTCTGACGGAGCGATTATTGGCAGGAAACGGGAGCACATCACAGGTCACTATGAAGCTGGTGACTCACTTCAACACCTTTCCTTAGAGACGAGTCGCTCCGTCTCCCAAGATGTAATCTACTTAGAAACGCTCTCCAGCATGTTGCAGACAGAAGAGTCTTTTCAAAAATTAATGAGATGTTGAGATGAAAGGATAAAAGCCTGCATGTGATGCTTGTCGAGGGGGGGAGGCGCACACGTTCAGACCCCTGCAACCAGAACCAAGTGTCTTCACTCACGTTCAGACGCTGCTTCGTGGGGATTTTTCTTTTTGTCCTCTAAATGGAAGTCGACTCGCCGCAACGTTCACGTGTAAACACGTCCTCATAACGGGAGCAGCGCAGGCAGCAGGCAGATAAATGTTTAACGCAGGCTGCAGCAGGAAAACGCCGGTTTGCGTCACCTCGCATGCTGCTGCAAACGTGAGCCGGACGGTGGGGGAGGACCCACGTCAAACCACTCGTGTGTGCGCTTTATGTCTATCTTTGTGAGGACTGATTTGAGTGGAAGACCTTGGGAGTGTGTTACAGCTCTGGCAGGGAAGCAAACATTAAACCGGTTGTTTTTGGTTGATATAATTAACCCTCTGGATCCTAAAACCTGTCGACGGGTTGGAAATGCAAGTTATCTTTTAAAAATACCTCAAAAGTTACACCATTTATCAGAAGAGTTGGTGCATTTTCCTCTTTCTGATCATCTGTGAGCCTTTTATTGCTTTTTAAACTAATTGTTGTCGGTTTAATTTTGATAAGAATTTGCAAAAAAGACGTTTTCCAACAAAGTAATCTCTCTTAAATTAGGATAGAAAATGTAAAATAAATGACTTCTTCATGTCAGTATTTAGTAAATGCAGCTCTGGCTTCAATGGATGGGTCCTAATCAGCCTGAACATCTGGATGCTGTATTTTTACCCCATTCTTCTTTGCAAAACTGTCAAAGTTGGCTTCTTATGAATGATTATTCCCACGTTTTTACCTGCAGTGAACCTTGAGTTTCAGCACATTTTCATCCGTGTACTGGAGGAGAAAAGCTTTCAGTTGTGTGTCTTCTTTGGTTAACACGAACCCATTGCTGTTGTGTTTGTGCAGATGTGATGGTGGGGATGGGCTACAACCTGGAGGAGATCCAGGACTCTCTGGCCAAGATGAAGTACGACGAGATCACCGCCACCTACCTGCTGCTGGGCAGGAAGGCCTCCGAGGTACGGCTTCAAAACTTTATCGTCACGGTGCAAGAAGAAAAGCAGCGTGCAGGTTCCAAAAACACTCTGGTCTGTAGATTTCTAGTCATGTTGGAACTTTAGCTCCCATAATGTGCCTCCTAAAGACAGAGTAAAGTTCTCTAATGAGATTGTTAATTAACTTTTCACCTCATAGGAACATCATTTGAAATAAGTAATAGTATTGGAAGGTTCCTTGAACATTAGATTTAAATGTTTTCTTGAAAAACCTTGTAGGTGATGTCTCCCTGAAGGAGGCTTTTGTGGTTGGAACATGCACAAAGTCCATGAAGATTCTCAGTCATCCAGGTCATAGTTATTCTCGTAGTTTAATCCTAACATCTGGACTTGCTTGAGTTCCTTGAAGACGTTCCACCTCTCATCCAAGAGGCTTCATCAGTGCTGACGGACTAAGTTGGGAGTTCCAGATACTTATATCCTTAAGTAACCGTTAACGGGGGGAGGAGCACCAAACCCCTAATTGAAACCAAAATAAATAAAACGACTCCTGTATGTTCAGTTAGCAGCAGCACGTACAAGTTTCCAGCTACACTTGCTGCACCAGCCACCAGCATGCCCAAGCCTCTGCTGTGCCCGATGTTCTTTAGTCTTCAGCATCTGTGGTGTAAATCCTCCCCAGAAATTATGAAATAACAAAATGTTCTCCTCTGGTATTTGATGAATCATTGATGCGGACTGACCTGCCAGGCTCGTTGTTGGAGCGTTTGTAGTTGTTTTTCTCCTGTTTACGGGGTATTTTGTGAAAGATAGTCGTGTGGACAGAGTTTTTTTTTAATTTTTTTCAAACACAGGAGGAGGGTGTCCATCTCAAAAAAAAAAAAAGAGATGAAACTTCATTAATCCCAAAGGAAAGCTTTCTGCCAGATATTACTCAGAAAAAAACAAATTACATAACGTTAGAACAAACGCAGCGCCTAATAGAAAAGCGATAAGATACAAGAATGATGCATTACTGAAAATACGCACTCTGAGGTGACATAAGTTGTGAGTCGATGCGATATAAATAAAATAGAATGAGCTGAATTAAAAATAAAAACAAGGGAGCTACAATAGGTCTAGAATAGAAACGGAATAAGTAATATTGGTACATGCAATTGAGATATCACACATTATATTGAGATATTGCACCTGTAAATGAAATATTGCACTTTACTTTGACTTGTTATACATGAAGATTAAATATTGTTGACGAGGCCTTTGTCTGCCTCCGTAATTAGCTTCCAGAATCACATAGAGCCCTCCACAGAAATGCCGATTCTTCAGGGCCACCTCCGGTCTTTACCGATGGTCCTGAGCAGTAACCCAAAGAATAAGATGCAATTATTGATATGAGTTTGATCGTAGGATACCTGGGCTCAGCTTTAGAGATACGTCGAGGAGCTCGAACACCTAGATTAGGATGCCTCCTTCTGGACAACATCATTTAGAGGTTTTCTCATCACGTCCAGACCCGGGGGTCGACCCAGAACTGTCTGAAGGGATTACGTATCTCATCTGGCCTGGGGACGCTTCAGGAGGAAACACAGAGCGATGCCTGGGATGCTCACACAAAGAGTTAATTGTGAATGATTTCACGTGAACTCGTCCTCTGTAGAGGTGTTTCTCAGCAGCAGCTGCATTAAAGTCCCCTCAGAGCCCAGCCCAGTCTGTTCTGGGGGCTCGGTTCTGGTATAAATAAATGTTCTGAGGATGAAGGGAAGATTTATTGAGGCTGCTGTCGACCTCTAACATGCTCTCGGTTCAGGAAGGAAAAGTTGGCCACAAATGCTAGAAAGAAGTTTTAATCGTGTGAATTTGAACCCTCCTGTTTATAAACTTAGAAACTGAAGGTTCTGTTGTGTTTCTGCTCCTCAGCTGGAGCCCAGCGAGTCGGCCTCCAGCAGCAACTTGTCTCTGGCCAAGCCGAGGCCCAACAGCGAGCTGAACGGCCAGTCGCCATCACACCTCAAAGTCCAGAGGAGCGTCTCCTCCAACCACAAACAGAGGCGCTACAGCGAACAAGGTGAGGAGGCTGCATCACGCCTTTTTCTGCTTTCATATGAAACTCCACAGAACCGCGGCAGCCTCAAATCTCTCCCTTTTGTAACGTCTGAAAGCAGCACAGCTCCAACTCCGCCGAGGCTTTTTTCCCCCCGACAAAGGTTGGTTTGTGTCAGTAGCTTGTTGTCAGGCTGATAAAAGCAGTTAAATCAAACCAGTCACATGGTGGAGGCACTTTAGCCTCTCGCTTATTTGCACGGCTCAGTGCTGTCCACTGTGATATAATGCTTTGTCAATAACCTGCTTCCTCTCTGTTAGAGCTGCAGCTTAAATAGCAACACTGAGAACCTTTTCACGCTCCGGCTCCAACGCGGTGACACTGTGATTTCAAGGACTTCTCAGGCATTTTCAGTCCAGGTTTTCTGGTGTTTTTTAAATTCATTTCAGAGTTCACTTACTTTTTTATTAAATTACCTGTGAAAACTGTCCACTAAGCACACAGACAGTCACAGAAATTCACATTTAAGAAGCTGAAGCCTCTCTGTCATAAGTTTGTTCCCTTTTTAAAACCCTGGAAATGAAGAACATTCCCCAAAAAGCAAAGTGTCAACCTGTGTCACCTGTCTGTTTTTATTAGAAGGTGTTCTGTTTGTGTACTTTTTATTAAATTATGAGTGAAAACTCTCCACTAAGCACACAGTCACAGAAATTTGCATTTCAGAAGCTGAAAAGAGCCATTTTTTAATTTTATTTTCTAACTTAACGTATTACTTGTCATCAATGCGTCCATTACATAATCTCGGCTTAAACCTTGCGTCTATTTCGGGGAGGAAAAAAGCCTCAATGTCATGCGTTTGCTCCATTTTTTCAGCCCTGGACTGAATCTACTTTCTTTAAAAATAATACGCTGATGATCGTGTCCTCGTCCTGACACTCTGAGTCAGTGTCGGATTTGTTCTTTTTTTCCCCAAAATGTAGGTCGTCTCGTTTTAGATTAAAGCCTTTAAATTTATATATTTTTCGTTCGCCAGAGGTACAAACAGTGTTTCTGAGTCACTCATCACACATCTGTCTGCCGTTTGTGCCTGCAGTGGGTCAGAACGTCCCTCCGGGGATGGCTCATCCTAAGAGGAGTCAGACCACCACGGCGGAGAACAGCGCCAAGGAGGAAGGTGGGGTTCAGCTGCGTAAGCCCAGCACCCCGAGCGGCCGCGGGCCTCCGCCCTCCAGCCCCCTGCTGGGCAACGCCAACAACCCCAACAAGGCCGACATCCCCGACCGCAGGAAAGGAGCCACCACCGGCCCCAGCGTGAGTGTTTTCAGCTCCCTTTACCAACCCAAAGAACCTGTCGTGGCTCTTTCTGCTAATGTGAAATATGAAATGACTTCCTTTACCGTGCATCTGTCCTGTCTTTAAGAAGACTTTCTATCTCTTTTTTATTGACCATTGTACGTTTTAAAGCTCCTCATCATGACATTCAGTCACACTGAGTTCCTTGCCTGCTTAATCCTCCAAACTTTCAAAAGTTTCTGGGTGTTTAATTTGCTCTCATCACGTTTTTCCTCACTGTGGTCACATTTTTCACTGCACCTCAATAGACACAGCTGCTTAAAAGGAGAGAGAACTCAAGTCGCTTACACCACATATTGTGTAAATTTGCACATTCTCAAGCGATTCATTTGCACATTTCTGCACCCTGTAAATATTCCTATTACTTGAAAGTCTTAAATTGCTTGGATTTGCTTCACTTCCTGTTTATTTGATTGGGAGCACTTTCCTTCTTTTCAAATCTTTTTATCCATCTTTAAAAATTCTTTATTGTCATTTTTATATAAAGCTGTAAAGATGACACAGGCTCAACAAGTAAAGTGTGACACATGACAGTTTCCCTTTGTTAAATGCAACCCAAGTTTGCTTTATAATCATTCTGAAAAACACTGGTTTTGAAGAATATTTCCCCAAAAAGATAAGCCCGAGTGTTGACCTGCAGTGTTGTGTGTTCCTGTGCAGAATAACCCAGCGTCGGCAGGCATGACCAGGAGGAACACGTATGTCTGCAGTGACAGAAACAACACGGATCGCCTCTCCGTCATCCCCAACGGGAAGGAGAACAGGTGAGAGGAGGAAGGAAGTCGACTCAGAATCGTGTGTCAGCCGAGAGCAGAATTTGGGTTTTTAATTTAATGAGATTATTCATGTGGATCCTGTTGTGGAAGCCGGGATGTTTATTAGTCTAAATGCTGTTTACTATGAAAAAGGAAAAGAAATCAAATGTGGTCAAACCAAAGTCTAGTTAGTATGAATGTTGGTCGGCTCAGTGCAGAAATATCAGCCGTACAAACAGACATTTTGTTGAACTGGAGCATCATCTGGGCCCAGATTCTCTCCTTTTGTTGTTGAAAGAAATTCTAAGTTCTTCTAAGTTCTCATTCCCTGATTTTCTGTTTCTACTCCTTTCTTTCTTTCTTTCTGTCTGTCTTATATTTACTCTCCCCCTTTTTCTCATCATCTTATTTTTCATTTCTGCCTGTGTGTTTGTGGTTCGGGTTGGGGTGTTTTTTTGTTTTTTTTATTTCCGTCGTGGCATGACCAGCATGACTGAGATGGCTTGTGCCACTAGCCCCTCCTCTGCCTTTGCGGCCGCTGCGTTCGGTGCCTCGTCCAGTTCGGTGCGGCTGAGGTATCAAACCGTCGGTCCTTTGTACGCTTGCCAGGCAGGCTGGGCCACGCTGCCCCACTCCTACTACGCTCTGGACTACTGCTCGCCCAAGTAAGACGGCAGGGCCTCCAAACCCCCCTGTCTGTCTCGTGTCATGTCTCAGCCCCTGTTTGGCCCTCCGCTAACCCACACATCCAGCCAGCTTCACACTCTGTAACCCCACAACTAAACCATGGACACCATTTCCTGCAAACTACAGTCAGCGCAAAGGTTTTTGGTGCCAGAGTCTGAAATTCACGCTCAGCGGCCAGAAGCAGGTAAAAACATAAAACGACAAATAACAGTTTCTACTCAACCATCTCTGATTTCAATTTTCAACTTAAAATATTTTAGCTTGATATATCAAATACTTTCCACGATAATCCCAAAACTTGCCAATTGACTCACTTTCGCACATTTGAATTTGAGGCTTTTTGAACAACAATATCTCAGGAACTATTTAAGATAAAAGCCTGAAATTTTCACTCTTATTTCTCATCATCAAGTCGATCAAATATTCTCTGATTATGGGTGAGTTGAAACCAGAAAAATAAACGTAAGCCATCTTGAAAAGTCCCATCTTTGAGCACAAATCAACTTAAAAATTGATAATGCAGAAGTCAGCTAGTGATATTTACTGAACGATGTGTAGCTGCAGGTCACAAAAATACAAAACTAAACATATAGTAGGCTTTATGATTTAAGTACTTGGTCACAAAAAGGAAGAGGAAGTTATTTTCATTGAACTTTCGTAACAGATTGAGCCGATTAGTTGATAGTTTCAAAACGGTTTTCCAAGAATAACTAAGAAAACGTATTTTTCAGTCATTTCGCACGTCACATGTTCAGCTTAATTCATTGCCCTACTACTTATTGAAGACATGCACGAAGGTAAACTCTTAACTGTATAAAATCAAAGGTTTCTCTATTTAGGCGGCAACATTTACATATTTAATACAAAGGCATCAAAATAAATAAATAAACGATAAACCACATCATAAATATCACGTATAAATGTTGGGGTTTTTTTCATCTTTAAACAAAGATGCGAGATAAATAACAAACTATGACAACAAAGAAGCTCAAAATTCCCAGTTTGTGCATGAAAATGAATTTAAAAATTGTATTCAATTGTCAACAAGGCAAATAAAAACATCTACAAATCGTGCAGGATGATTTTCACGGATAAAGTTTGTTTTTTGGATCATCACAAACACACGAAGCACCATCAGTGTAACAGGTTCGGTTTTTACCTGCACTTGGCTCCAGCTGAGTTTTTATTTCAGTCGCTGATCAAATTGGAGGCACAAGTAGAGAAAAATATGTATCCACACACTGAAACCCAGCGGCGACGCCTCGGCAGACGACGTGTTCCACTCTGTGTGTGATGATATTTTTCCGTCACCCTTCTGCCGACCATAAACCGGACGACCTCCTGCGGCAATAACAACCTGCTCCTGGTTTCTCCTCCATCCTCTGCTGTGAACTCCCCGATCTCCTCCGTCTGGATCCCTGCGACTCGGAGGCCGAGCTGCTCCCCGATCCCCCCCGACCATCGTCTCTTCTTTCTGTTTTTACTCTCTAACCGAGCGGAAACTCGCTCTGTTCACTCTGCACATCAACGGCTTGACGTCCGGGGCGGGAAATTAACAGAAAGCTGCCAAACTTACTCTTAAATTCTCTTGTGAATTTATTGTCTACTGTTAAATTATCACCATCATTCCTGTTAGTTTGGGTTAGAAGAACCTCTGCTGTACTCCGACCAGAACATTTGATTTAACTGGTAAAACAACTGACCAGCACTTTCTTGTTAAACTGCCCGTTGAGTGTTTGTGCAGCTTTTTTCTTTTAAAGTTTTAATTTCCCACCCTGCCGACGTCTAACATGCAAAACTCATCCACCTGAAACCCATTAAAATATAAGAACTCTGTGTAGGAATAAGAAACTCTCCGATATTTCAGAGATGAGGAGGGAAAGGTGATGAAACTGCATCAGAGTTTTTCCACTGCAGGAGTGAGCTCGTGGTTTCATGTCTGTGTTTGACTGTTGGACAAATCAGTGGATAAAAGAAAGTAGAAATAAAATCACCTACAATGGATCAAGTGTTAGTTGTCAACTATTAAATTTCCATTTTTTTCTTTTTTAACAGATTCATTGGTTTGAGTTTAAACTCTGCAGCTTCTTGATGAAGTAGTTTCTCAATTTTATGTTGCGGTAAATTAAATATCTGTGAATTTTGGACTGACGGCAAAACAAACATTAGTATTTTGCATTTTTCACAACGATAATCAGCGAGTTCACGACTTTCAAAATAAGGTTTGATGTATTTAGGACACACGAAATTATAACAAAGACACACAAATCAACAAAAAAATTATACAAAGTGACAACAGTGTCGTGTAGAATGACGACAAAGACCCACAAAATGACAACAGAGACCAAACAATGACCACCAAGACACACAAGATGACAAAAAAAATCACACAAAATGACAACAGTGTGATTTAACATAAACACTGAGAGACATGAAATGACAGAAGACTCACAAAATGACAACAGAGACTAAAAATAACAACAAAATGATAAATAAAAGACACACAAAGTGACAACAGTGTGACAGAAAATGACCACAAAGAGACACCAAAGGAGACGACAAAGACTCAAAATGACAAAAAAGACTAAATGACGAGACATGTAATGACAAGGACACACAAGATGACAACAAAAACACAAAAGTTGACACCAAACACACAAAATTACAACAAAGATGCACTAAATAAGGCACAGGGTAGATATTTAAGGCAAAAAAAGTCTAATTCTAATTACAAGTCCCTAAACGTTAATATGTTTTCAGTTTTTCCTCCTCTGTGACAGTAAACTTTATATCTTAACATTTTAAGGCGTCATTTTGGACTTTTAGAGACACTGATTGGCATTTTTCACCAAGTAGCCGATCGATTAATCAGAAAATCATCACCAGTGATTGTTGGCTCCACTGAACTAAACGTCTGCACTGGAAAAACTTCAAACTCGTGTTTTATTTCAGCACGAAACCTACCTGGGTTCTAACTTTCCCTCCCTCCCGTCCGCCCCAGCAGCGTCGCCGTGTCGCCCGGTGGCCAGAGGAACCCGGTGGCGTCGACCCACAGCATCGCCAACGCCACCACGCCCGACCGCCTCCGCTTCCCCCGGGGCACCGCCAGCCGCAGCACCTTCCACGGCGGCCAGCTGAGGGACCGCCGCACGGCCACATACAACGGGCCGCCGGCGTCGCCCACGCTGTCCCACGACGCCACGCCGCTGTCCCAGACCCGCAGCCGTGGAACCAGCAACCTCTTCTCCAAACTCACCTCCAAACTCACCCGCAGGTAGGCGAGGAAGCTCCCCCACGTCAGGCTCTGCCGGGCCGGGCGGTCGCTCGCTCTCTTAAAAGCATCATTCGGGGTTTTGTTTGTGGGAATGTCGAGGCTGAAATAGAAGCAGGACAGACTCCAGCTCTGTGCAGTTTAATCTCCTGTGACTCTGTCTGTTCGAATTAGAAGCCAGTCAGCACAGTGCCTCGTAGAGTTAGGATGATTAATTACATGCTGGGGGAACCCTTCACTGTCCTGTACCATGTGATTTATTCTGAAGACTAAATTGTTTATCTGTCGCTGCCTGGTTGCCTGCCAGAGAAAATGAAACCCCTTTGAAGGGATTTGACCTCCTCTTAATGAAATTAACGATACTGTTAACGAGTTGTTTATCTAACTTTAGCTCATCAGTGCCTAAAAAATTGTTTTCCTGCTGCACACATGCTTTAGCGTTCACTTCTCTTGTCCGTTTAGCGTCGCACAAATCAGTCGGTTAACGTCACCTCAGGTCGCCTCAGGTCACCTCAGGTCGCTTCTATTTGTACTGAAGAGCTTATTTCTGGTCCGGTTCACATCCAAAGAGGAATAAACATGAAGTTCTGCAGGCTGACAGGTTAATTCATCGCAGAAATAATGTATAAGGAGACTGCAGCTGGATCTCATGCATCATAAATACTCGGTGCTGCAGTATTAATGGTGTGGTCGCAAGGTTTCGCAAACTCTTTTTAACAAGACACAAACTCAACGCACATCGTCTTTAGCTTCCTCAGTGATGGGTCGTTTTAGTTGTCTGTCATAGTTTGATTGATTTAATTGATATGAACAGGTAAGGCAGAAGACGAGGAACAAGCAAGTCAGAAAATGTGCTTTAGATCATCTGTAGTACCTGGTTGCGCCGCCAGGTGGAGCCTCTTACTGTTTATTAAGGTGAAGTTAAAAGTGTGTTTGCTAACCGCCTGTAATGGTCCATAAAACAAGCGCACCTCCCTGCTGGCTAAGGGCTAATGACACCACTGTAGCCTAGCGTAGCGTAGCATAGCATAGCACAGGGCTTCTGGAGAACTTTGACTTTGAAAAACATGTACAAATCAAAGCTCCAATAAAGTCTGGCAGCGTCTACTTCAGTTACGATTAATTGTAAAAGTGCAGATGCCAGAGAATCTCCTCGTATCGTCTCTAAGTATTGGTTTGGAGCACCTTCTGTTTAAAATCTGCAGCATCCGGGTTGTAAAAAGGTGTCTGGCAGCGGTTTAGCTACCTGAGGCTAATGCTAACGCCGCTGAGCTAGGATTTTCAAACGCTAACAGAGGTTTTTGTTGTGCAAATTGCTGAAAATATATATTTTTTAAATCTCGAGTCATTATTTGTTGCTATTTAATAAAAAGTAAGTAAAAATAAATAAATGCAAAATAGTGAATACACAGATGTAGTGCTGATATTGTACAGTTTCTTAAAAAAAAAACTATAAATGTGGAAAATAACAGTATTGTAAAGGCCTTTTTCTTTTCTCTCTTCTCTTTATTTTATCCATTTACCAGTTAATTGATTACTGATTGTCAGCGTGGCCAACTCATGGTTAATGATAGTTGTTTAGGTTTTGTATTCCAAACTGGTTTATTGTGGGGTTTGTTAGACTGGTGTGGACAAAACTAGCATGACCTCTTAAAAAGAGTTGCCTGTTACTGGTGTGAAAGCAGAGCAGTCGAGGTTACAACATGATTGTGTGATTTCAGCATCGATTCAGGTTAATTACAGTTTCTTAAACGGGGATTGTCAACATTGCAGCAGACATGTGTTGAGTTTGTGTCCTGCTCTGTTAACATGAAATCCGGCTTCTGTCTCGTCTTTAATCGCTCACAAATATTTGGGGATTCAAATCAGTGTATTTTCAGCTCCACATCAAGAGTTTTTGTACATTTCCTATTGTGATTATTGGGCCTTTTGTGTAATTATCCACATACAGAACCTGTCATCGCAGCACGAGTTCTAAATCTGTCACCACATTGAATAAAAACAAACAACTCGACTCCAAACAGACATTTTCTGTGTGACGACGGCAGCAGCCAGGCCAGCGACGTCCCTCCTGCAATGACTGACCTAAAATGAGGAATTGAAATCATTTGATAATAAATGAGAAACAAATGAACCTTCCCTTTTCCACTGTTGATGATTCCAATCACCCCATTTTTGTTCACTCATTCAGCTTCCTCATCCAGCCCCCCTCCCTCCCTCCCCCTGCTCCCTCCACTTCTCTTTCACCATTTTCACTGTTTCTTTGTCTGATTCTGTTGTAGAAACATGTCATTCAGGTTTACCAAAAGGTAGGACTCTTGTACTGCCTTTCGCTCTGTGCCAAAAATAACGAGAAACAATCTCACTGAGAAAACTTCCTCTGAACCTCTACAGTCGCGTGGGGCTGCTGGCACTGAACTAACACACCGCTTAGCAGGAAGACAACCGTCTCCGGCTGTGTTCACACACTCGGGTTGGAGGCAAAGGATTTCAGGAGCCCAGATCAGATTTATCGGCTAGTTTGACTCTGAAAGGAACGGTATGGTTTGTGTGTTACATATGAAGCTGTTAGCTTAGCTTAGCACAAAGACTGGGAACGGAGGGAAACTGTTAGCACGGCTCTGTCCAACTATGCAACTAGTGATAACATTTCTCAAATATTTTATTAGATTTTTTTTGGTCTAAAAGTGTCAGAAAATGTTGACAAAACTGTAAAATAGGTTTTAAAACAGTTAGAATTACAACTAATGATTAATTAGTCGATTGATCTATTGGTGGTTTGTTCTGTAAAATTTCAGAAAATGTTTAAAAATGCCAAAGATTGAAATTGTTTTGCTTTGTTCACAGCCCAAAGACATTCAGTTTAGTGTCATGGAGGACAAAAGAAACCAGAATATTCACATTTAAGAATTTATTTTTCCTTAAAAAATTACTCAAACCAATTAATCAATTATCAACATAGCTGCTGCTTATTTAGGCTGTTGACGTCTAATCGGTTAATCGTTGCAGCTGAAGTTTTTTTTGTTCGGCCGTCGGTCCAAAACCCAAAGATATTCAATTTACTGCAACGTAAAACAAAAACAAATCTTTAAAATTGACTTTAACAATGAATTTTTCAATCAACTAATCGTTAAAACTGGTTCTTTTTTTCACATTCATACAACAATCTGCTTGATTCAGTCTGATCTTACAAAATAATTGAAGGGCTGCCATGAGATTATTTTGTCTGTTTTTCTTTTAAAATTTGCTTAAACCAAGTAATCAATTATTAAAATATTTGTCAATTAACCTAGTAGTTGACTGATAATTGATTAATCATTGCAGCAGCTCAACAAATGTGTTTTACTTTTTTTTTTTTTGTAAATTCTGGGAGGCTACATGACTGTAATGAAAAAATAAAAAATTAGAAGAAGCTGAGAAGAAAACCAGTTGCTTGCTAACTGCTTTAAAAAAAAAAAACCTTAAAGAAGAGAAAAAGTCTTCAGGAATTGTTTTAATTTGGAACCTTGTAATTGTTCTGTTCTATCAGCTGGTGTTGGACGTGTTTAACGCTGTACGGGGACGAAAATAACAAAAGAAGCAGCTGATCAGTCGTGTGAGATACTGATTTAGAAAAGATATTTCCGTCTCACCTTAGAGCTTTAACTCTTTTCGTAATATTAACAACGTTTTGTTTTTGTTTTTTTCCCCCCGATGAGCTACTTTAAAATGTGCATAAAACACAGCTTGTGACCTTTTTGGTGTTTAAATCGGGTAAAACCATAAATCAGTGCACACAGGAAGAACTTCAGAGCAATCAGAATCAACTTTATTGGTCAAGTTTATACACGCAAACAAGGAATTTGACTCTTAGCTCTGTATAAGAAATAAAGAAGTAAACTAGAACAATAAAATAAGAGTGAGCAATAAATACGCATAAGAATAGATTATTGAAAGCATTCTGCAGCGACGGTTCTTGTTCCTGCAGTGTAAAACTAGCATCCCTTATAGACTTACCCAGGCTAGCTGTTTCCGTCTGTTTCCAGTCTTTATGCTAAGCTAGGCTAACTGTCGGCTAAATGCAGCTTCTTATTTAGCCGACAGTTAGCGTAGCTTAGCATAAAGACTGGAAACGGATAGAGACAGATCCAGGCTAGCTGTTTCCATCCGTTTGCGGTCTTTATGCTAAGCTAAGCTAACTGTCGGCTAAATGCAGCTTCTTATTTANAGACAGATCCAGGCTAGCTGTTTCCATCCGTTTGCGGTCTTTATGCTAAGCTAAGCTAACTGTCGGCTAAATGCAGCTTCTTATTTACCACAGGAATATCTTCTTTTGCTGCCCTAACTTGTCAAACTGCTCCTTTCAGAGGGTTGTGAAGCTGTAAAAAACAAATCAACAACCAAACAGAAGTATTCTTATTTTGTAACTGAAGCAGGCTGCAGGTCGTAGACATGAACCTGTGTGTGTGAATGCAGTCGGGGCGTTTGTGGTTGGCCTGAGTGGATAAAGGCTGATTGTGAGAGCAGACCGAACTCCTTGAACAATCAGTCGATTAACCAACAGCAACAACAAAGCAGCTTTGCCACTAATCAATCGCCAGCGCATGCATGGGGTCGCTTCCTTCAGCTGCCATTGATCGTGGTTTGTTTTCTCGCCACAGTGATTGTTGTTATTGACTCAACTCTCTCTCACTTCAGATGGGGCTTTAAACATTACTCTGCTGCATTGTTCACCATGAAAACTGCTTGGGTTTTTTTTTTTTTTAATTTAACTCTCTGTGGCTCAGATGAGATTTCTGCTGCTTTCTGAGCCATTTAGAGCTATTAAAAAAACAAAAAACAACAGATTTGTGTTTTCCTTTCTGTGAACACAACCTTTGTGTACATTGATGTGTTTGTGTAGGACCTTGGTTTATCTCTGCAGCGGTTTGAAACGCTTCGCTGGGTGGTTTTTATGACACACACCAGTAGAAACCCTCTGAAAGGCCTGTCGCTCGATGGTTCTTCTGTCTCTCTTGCAGTTTTTTGTTGTGCGTTTGGAGACATTTGCAGGTTTTCTGGGCTTCAGCGAATCTTCTTGAGCTTTGGTGCAAAAAAAAAAAGAAAAATACGTCACACAAATCGTTTTTAGCTTCTCATCAGGGTGATTTATTATTATTATACAATCAAACAGTTGTTTATGTAAATTACTGTAAATGCTGTAGTTTATAAAATAAAAAAAAAACACATGGTAAAACCTTCTTTAAATATCAGAAAACTTGCAGGAGGTATATAAATGATCACAAATATAAAACTATAGTAATTGCACTCTAAAAACACGGCACACATAATCTGATGTATTGGCCCAAATATAAAATAAGATCTTTATTTATTGATTATAAAACATTTTTTGGATCTTTCTTAAGGGGGAAGCGAATGTTAAATTTACTTCTGGCCATTTTTCAGTGCACAGTTTACGACTTTTTAGTTAGATTTGGTTATTTTTCCAGATGAAACCATCCATGACACACGATGCATTCAAGGATCGTTGGAAAGTTTAAAATTTTAAGATTTTTTTTTTCTGTTTTTAGCAGTTTTTGTCTCTGATAAATGTTAAGAAGTTTTTTTTAAAGAGAGCCTGTCTTTTAAGCCTGCCTGGGAGTTTTGTAATCGGGAGGATTAACGTCACCGAGTCGGTGCGAATCTTCTTGCTTTTGGTGAAATTCATAGAAAATGCTGCTGGCGCTGCAAAATGTCCAGAAGAAGGAATCAGGAATTATTTATTTTAGATTAAACTCTTGATGATGATTTAATTTTAGAGGGAAAAAGGTTTCAAGGGTGAAAATTCTGTTTGTATTTCAGGTTTTTTTAGTTTAAGTTTCAGATGCAGCTGCTGTAATCTTGTTTAATCGTCTTATATTTGGGCCAATATCTTAATTTCAAACTAATTCCTTGTTTTCAACTCTTTAAAATATTTACTGCTCTAAAAAAAACTGCATTAATTTAACACTAAAAGAGAAAAACAAGTAGCAGACAGGTGTTTTTGAGTTCATGTGCTCATGTTAAATATGAGTTGAGTTTCTTTCTCTGGTAAATAAACGATCATTTGAGTGCTTCAGATGATTACGAGCTCGTCTTGTTGTCCTGCTTCATAAAGGAGACGTGGTTCTCCTCAGACGTTCATCACTCTGTTGCCGGTGGTTTCCTGAAGGGAGTCGCTCTCCGTTCCCTCTAATGTTGGTCAGACTTTAGGAAACGAGGCTGTGAAACACCGAATTCCTGACACAGATCTTTTTAGGTCATCGTGTAGCTGCGGTTTGAACGGTGGAGCAGCTTTGTGGCCTTCTCGGGCCGCCGTCTCGAGGCTTGTGGCGCCATCTGGTGGCCGATCCGTAGACGGTCGTCTTCCTCGTCGTCCTCATCGTGTCGGTCGGCTCCGGTTCCATCACCGTCCTCCCATCTCACTCCTCAGTTTTTATGTTTTTCCTCATTTCTGTGGAGCCTTGAAGGAGACGAGATGCCGTCAAAGGCTGTCAGACGAGTCAAAAAGAAAACAGAACCCTAATAAATCATGTTGTTGATTAAACAAATACATCTTTTCATAGAATAAATGAAACCTGCAGCATCCTTTATTTTTATCATTTACCTATTGATCATATTTTTGATAAGTTGTTTGGTTTATTAATTCATAAAAGAGCTGCAGCTTCGAATTATTGGTCGTTTTATCTATAAAATGTTTTAAAAAATGGTGAAAAACCAACACGACAAACGTCTTGTTTTGTCCACAACCCAAAGACATTCAGTTTATTGTCATTTAGGAGGAAAGAAACCTGAAAAAATTCCACATTTCAGAAGCAGAAATCAGAGAATTTAGACATTTTTTGCCTTAAAATTCAATCAAACTGATCGATCAATTATCAAAATGGTTTAATTAATTTAGTAGCACCTCTACAGCTCACCGTAGATAAATCAGGGGATTTAGACTTATCACTTAAACTGATTCATCGATTAGTTTAATTAATTTAATAGCTGAAAACTAATTGATTGGTCATTGCAGCTCTTAAAATGGCTGCAGTTGTTTAGAACACAGTGATGTCTTCAAACAAACACAAAATATTCTCTTTACTGGCTTGAAAAAAAGACTTTTAATCATTTCATAAATCGTCCAACCTGCAGATTAACCAACCGTTTGTTTATTCTCGTTATTATAAAAGCATTGAGGAGCAGTTTAGTCATTAATGGAACGATAAAACCAACAAAAAGTAAATGAAAAAAGAGCCGACAAATGAAAGTATGAACTAGAAGGACTAAAATAAAGAAACGTAGCGTTTCTCAGGTTACATTCATGGTC